TTTTTTTTTTTTTTTTTTTTTTGGCTAATATTTCTGGTATCCTTATGTTCTAAACATTGTAGGGTACTAAAGAGTAGAATTTTGACTTAGAATGTTGAGAGCTCCTAACTTTTACCATTTTGTCCCAACTTTGAATACCTTCTAAATTGTATGCATGCATCAGCCAAAAGGTCTTTTTCTTCATTCTAAATAAAAAACTTCAATCCCTAGAGTGAAAATCAAATTGATCAACTAAATGCTACAAGAAGAGATGGCCAACTTTCTAGTAACTACTCATCACCAAAACAATCATAAATTTATGATCACCTCCAGAAAATAAGCTCCAAAGAGAAGTCAGGTTGACATTGAGACATTTTGTAGGAGACCTTTTGGAGTTTGAGAACTTACTAGGACACCTTGAATGGATCCCACAGTACCTTGAATGGATCCCACAGTTCTGCTTGTAGTAGAGATACCACACAAGGAATAGATTGTGGCGTCGTTGCTGCTAGAACATTAGCTGACTATTCTGTTAGAGAAGCTCAGAAAAGTCACTAATCTAGAAACATAGGGAAGATGATGACCCTGGGAGTGAAATGCTTAAGGAGGGTGATAGTTCCATTCTGTGGATCTTCTCTAAGAACAAAGAGAGGATAGCCATGGGACACAGGATGCCCACATACCGCGTTTCAGTACATGCAAAGGCCTAACTTCACCCAGGAAGAGTACAGCCAGCCAAGCTGGGTGAAGGGCTCTGCAGCAGAGTAGGCAGTGATTCTGTAGGGTTGCAGGAATCTAAACTTAGTGTGGCATTTAGTTTCAAAATTACATGTAATCTAGTTGGAGCAAGACTAAGTGGCATTTAGCTTCAAAATTACATATAATCTAGTTGAGCAAGAACTGTATTTCAGAAAGCATCTGCCAAGATTGGAAGGCTAAGTTAAAAGTTAAGGATTTCAGGGCAAAAGCAGGATATTTCTATAAAACGAGTCCTCCCAAAATAAAAAAATGGAGAGAATGAGTAGTGCTGAAAGGATACTTGTAAGTATTAAAAGGGAAGACACACCAAAATATGTGGACTTTAGTCCTCAGGACAATCTGTGTGACCTCTGTGAAGATTTACTTACCCTTTCTAGGTTAGAAGCTCTGGAATATGATGATGACTTAATGATGGAATAATGGATTGATAGTTGAGGCATATGGCAACAGCTGCAAGAAAAATTCTTTCAGGCAGAAGACAAGGGATGAATTGGAAAACAGTATCAACCTGGGGCAGCTCTCATTATAGGTAGTTTGTCCTCAGTATGATGCCATAAAATTACCTTTTTGTTTTGTTTTGTTTTGTTTTGTTTTTTGGTGGTACTTAGGAATTGAGCCCAGGGCCCTTACACTAAATTATATCCCCAGACCCATTTGTGTTTTTTGAGAACAGTCTTTGCAAGTTGCAAAGTTCCCAGGCTGGGCTTGAACTTCTAGTCCTCTCGCTTTAGCCTCCCAGAGTACTGAGGTTATAGGCATGAACCTGTAAGCCTAGCTAAATTCAGAAATTTTAATAGAAGATACATGATAATTTTAGTTAGCACAGGAAAGGTTTATCACTAGCAAATTTCTCATTTTAAATCTATGAAAGTACGTATTGAGGGACTCAGAATCTCTGAACAGACCCCAGAGCTGTGTGCAGTGACAAGGCACTCAGATTTTGAAGTGCTCTTAGCTTAGAATGTACTTTATGAATATTGATTTTAGTATATGTGCTGCTTAAGTGAGCACTCTTTATGAATTTTGGGTTGTTTAACCTAAAAAGAAATTCTCTAAAAAAAGATTTTTTTCACAACAAATGTAATCATTATGTACTGCAAGCATGTACTCATAAAAAAAGTTTTTGTTTTGTGAGGGTTTCCACTGCATTCACTTATAAAGAATTCACTTTATTTTAGTCTTTAACATTATTTTGAAATGAGATGGTTGAAAAATAGGTTTCCTGTGGGATAAAAAGAAAATCATACCCTAGTACTAGATTACTACATTATTTACTAGGTTCCTCAACCTAGGTAGCTCAATAAAACATTGCATTTATCTGATAGGAATTAATTAGAATTATATATTTTTAAGAAAAACTTCATGAACATTCATAGCAGGGTATCAGAATACTGTAATTCTTCCAGTGAGTTTATATGATTAAGAAAGATGTTAAAAAAAAAGATATGTATATAGATCGGGCTGTGACAGTATATTTTAATAAAGTACTACATGTTTGTAACAAGCTTTTATACAATGTATCTTAATATTCAAAACAAAATTAAAAATATTAGGGCAGGAAGTACTATCTCTTTTTAAAAATGAAGAAGAATGAATTTTATAGAGGCTTAATATTTTGTTGAGGGTCACAAAGCTAGACTTTGACCATTATACTGTAGTGACTTCAAGTGTTTCTGTGGGATTATCATAATTCAGTTTGAAGGCACAGACTGGTTTTATATTCCACTTTCAATAGAAAAATTTCTACACAAAGTTGGAATATAATTATAAATATATATGTTATAAACATTTTTCTATCAACAGTTTTTAAATAGGTGTTGTCATGCACTTTTAAGTTGTAGGAACACATTGCTAGCTAAAAAGGCATGGTTAGGTAATTGTTTTGGGGAATATTTTTATGATGACTATAATGAGTGAAATTTCTAGAAGTCAATTTATATATGCCTTTGAAGAATAATGGGAAGTACTTTTATTTTGACAGTTTTAAAATTCAGAGTAATCTTACATATTATAAAATTGTAGATTTGACTTACCAGGTTACAAACTGAGATCATTTAATAGAATGTCCTATGAAATTGGCTACCTTGTCATTTAACAGGATGAAGAAACACGGAAAGATTATGACTACATGCTGGATCACCCCGAAGAATACTACAGCCATTACTACCACTACTATAGCAGACGCCTAGCTCCTAAAGTGGATGTTAGGGTAGTGATTTTGGTCAGTGTGTGTGCTATTTCAGTGTTTCAGGTGTGTATATTTATATGTGTATTTCTGTGTCTGTGCATATTGCCTGCTGCTGGTCACTAGAACTGCATTAAAAGTACCTTTAGGTAAAATTTTGCTTCCAGTTGAGATTAATTATTTTTAATACTAGAAAACTGTTCGTTTATTTCGGCACCTGAGGGTATTACATTTTTGTCAGTAGGAAATCTGATGATGAGTGTTGTTTTGTAACTACACCCTCCTCACCCCTGCCACCACCGAAACCAGGTCTTTTCTCATGCTCCCTGTAGAGTATTTGTTGTATGATAGCCATATCATTTTGCTTACCTTGGTGGAGCTTTTCCGTGATTTCTCATTAACTTAGGAAAAATCAGAAGCCCTTAGTGTTGCCTAACAAGTCCTGGCTCCCGTCTTCAGTGCCAATAGTACTTGCTATCACTCCAGCAATCGGAAGTGCCCTGCGCATTTCCACATGGCTCCCCAAGGTGCTGCTACTCAGGCTGGAGACCACTGAGAGAGGCTGAAGAGATACAGTAACTTTATGTGTTATTTAAAAGTATTTCAGAAATATAGTGAGTCTTTCCTATTATTGTCAAACTAACCATATCTATCACAAATCAAGTGACTAGAATGAAGCAATTTGCTAGTTTGAAAGTTACTTCTCCAGGTTAATTTCCAGAAATGATATTCAATTTATATAATAAAACAGTTCTTATTAAAGAATAAGGTAGAATATTTTAAATGTGTATGCTTTTCTAAAAGTATTACCCTTTCAAAGTGGGAGAGCAAGAGACAATTTTCTTTTTTGTTTTAGATAATGTAATACTCTAAATTTTTTTCTTTATTTTTTGTGTACTATCTAATAAATTAGCTGTAATATTTCAGGATATTTACAGTGTATCTGCTATGTTCACTGTACTAAGTAAGATGCAATTTTCTGACAATGAAAGCATTTGTGGTTGAGTGTATTTATGAAGTAAGTTAATGCTTTGCTGTCCCAATAGAGTTCAAACATATTTGAATCTTTCAGTTCAAAATAGGTATGTATTACCGTGGTATATGTAGATGGCTTAGGAAAGATATAAAAATGCTACAGTTGCCTTAATTTCTATCGGTGATGGCAAACCTTTGAGAGTCTGAGTGCCCAGACTGCACCCCAAAACCCACGTATGTATTAAAGAGTGCCACCTCTGCAATTAACCTGAATAGCCAGTACTCAGCTGCTGGGTGGCTCGGCTTATATGCCAACAGAGAGGGCTCTTGGGTGTCCACTGCAGCACATGTGCCATAGGTTTGCCCCCACTCATCTAAACCCTGTGAATTTTTAAAATAAATTTCTTACCAGCTGGTTTTTGTTATTTATCTAGTAGATTGCAGTTAAGGAAAAAGAGATAGGTTTTTGTTTTTTTGTTTTTTTTTTTTTGAGACAGGGTCTCACTGGAACTCACTATGTAGCCCAGGCTGTTCTTGAACTCACAGCGATCCTCCTGCCTCAGCCTCCCGAGTGCTGGGATTCCAGGCATGCGCCACCATGCCCGGCTAAAAGATAGTCTTTAATAGTGATCTAAAGAAGAGGCAGTCTGGTAGAGATGTGAAATGACTGGTGTGGGGTGATTCTGTTGATCCATCATCTGATCTGGGTGTTTTCTGTCTGAATCAATGACTTTTTGGCCCAGCTCAGAGTTATCCTACTTATTCCAACCTGCAGAGCCCATGCACATATGGACTTTGTTCAGTTGTATCATCATTTACTTATAAAGTGAGATCTTTGAGATACCTATATATAGACAAGTATTTTTGGAGATAGGGTCTCCTTTTGTAATTCTGGCTGGCCTTGAAATCACTTTGTAGCGCATGCTGGCCTCGAACTTGTAGCATTTCTCCTGCTGAGGTGAGAGCCACCGTGCCCACCTGAGATCCTTATATTTTAAAATGGGTTTCTTGTGTGATGATACTTAACTAAGACCCTTTACTTTTGCTTTAGTTTAGATGAATTGTGGGAATGAAAGTGACTCATTTTTCTTTGTTAAATATTCTAGTTTTTCAGCTGGTGGAATAGCTACAATAAGGCAATTAGCTACCTAGCCACAGTGCCAAAGTACCGTATCCAAGCAACAGAGATCGCCATACAGCAGGGACTGCTCAAGAAAGCCAAAGAAAAAGGCAGAAACAAGAAGTCCAAAGAAGAAATTCGTGACAAGGAGGAGAACATCATAAAGAACATTATAAAAAGTAAAATAGACATAAAGGGAGGCTACCAGAAACCCCAAATACATGATCTTCTCCTGTTTCAAATTATCTTAGCTCCTTTTCACATGTGCTCATATATAGTCTGGTATTGCCATTGGATTTATAATTTTAACATCAAAGGCAAAGAATATGGGGAAGAAGAGAGACTGTATCTCATACGTAAATCTATGAAGATGTCAAAGTCTCAGTTTGATAGTCTAGAAGATCATCAGAAAGAAACTTTTCTTAAACGGGAGCTCTGGATAAAGGAGAACTATGAGGTGAGTGGTGACTGCCCTCACTTCAGTATCATCCTTTTCCAAGTCACTGTACCCTGTATGACAGGATCACTGAAGTGTGCTTAAATTTCTGAAATCAGGTTAAATAATGAATCAAATCTTATTTTTACTGAAAGTATGACTATATTTTGTAATGGGGCACTGGGTTTTCATCTATAATTTATCTTTTTAAGAGGTGAACTTAATTCAGATACTTTAATCAGATAATTCTGAGAAAAGTTTTGTAAATGATTTAATGTGTTAAACTGCAGTGGAATGATGCATGTATTTGCAAGGGTGTTACAGCAACTTTCTCTAGCGGCACTCAGTACAGTTTGGTCTTTCGCAAGCTTTCTTTCAGTCATACAAACCTAACCGTACAGATTTTTGAAGAAGCATAACAGAGAAGGTCGGGGAGGGAGAAGAGGAGAGGGAATGAAGGAGAATGAATTTGAAGTGGAAGTTTTGTTGAAATATCTGTTTCAAATCAGTCGAGCACAGAATCTTCTGCCTGATAACTAACATGTATGGCAAGTTTTAGTTTACATTATAGTATGTTTTATTAGTGCCCTTAACAACTAGTACATATTTGTAGTACATAATAGTTCCATTCATTATGGGGAGTCGGTACATGTACATAACACACATTATTTTTACTTTCCCCTTCCTTCCCGTCCCTCTCCCCTTCCCATTTGCAAAAGATATCTCTCCCTGTTTTCTATTAACTATCTTTTACTTTGCTGTTACTATTATATTTTTAAATTAAGTCAACTTACCATCATGGCTTTAAATTTGGGGCCTTTTATTAAAATTTAAATTATTGTCAGGTATTAAAATTACTTTGAGGTGATCAGCTGTTTACCCACAGTGCTAACGAGGTTAGTGGCCTCAACCTGATGTTTTAGGTTCTGGGTATAGCTAACTGGTTAATTATAAGACTAGAGCCCCAAAACCTTCTTAAGAAATTTGGGATTTTTTTGTTTCATAGTCACTCCTTTTTATACATGATGTTTTAAATATATTTTATTGAAAGTAAAATTTTTCTCTGAATAATATTTAAATAAATTAACTCACTACGAGTAGCTGTTTGGGTAAGTAAATATATTCAGCCTGTTAACAACACAGTAATAGAAGTTAACATTAATTAGCTCTTAAACTATTTGAGAAATTTCTTTCTTAGACAAAAAATTGTCTTTTTTTGGTTTTTTGAGACAGGGTCTCACTATGTAGTTGAGAATGACCTGGAACTCACTATGTAGCCCAAGCTGGTCTCAAACTCACAGCAATCCTCCTGCCTCAGCCTCCCGAGTGCTGAAAGAATTGTGTCTTTGATGACTGTACTGGGCTGAAGTTTTATAGGTTACTTGAGGTTATTACTTCCTAGTATTTGGAAGTAATATTTCTTTCTAAAATTTGATATGGGTTTGAAACTAGCTATAACGTGACAGTTTGTCCATTTAGTTTCAGCTGACATCCACTAAAAGTTAAAAACAGATGCTCTTTATTCTTTTTTATTCTTTTATTCACCTTTGTAGTTTAACCTCTTTAAAGGACTTAATAAAATTTTTTTTTTGGAAAACCAATCTTTGAAGATAAAATAGTAGATGTAGATTTGTTTTGGAGATAAACTTTTTTTTTTGTTACTGGAACTTGAACTCAGGACCACATGCTTGTCTGATGCTATACGTCTGAGCTGTGCCCTGACCGACAAACATATCTTTAAGTTCATTTTGGGCCGGGGTTTTAGCTCAGTGGTTTGGTGGCCTGCCTTGCAAGTACAAGGACCCAAGTTCAATCCCGAGTACAAAAAAAAAAAAAAAAAAAAAAAAAAAAAAAAAAAAAAGATCATTTTGTTCCTTGGTTAAAATTAACAAATCTGAAAGTTATATTTGCAATATACCATGTTAAAAAATACTGTTGATTCTTTATTTTTGTTTGTTTGTTTGTTTTTTTGAGACAGGGTCTCACTTTGTAGTTGAGACTGACCTTGGACTCACTATGAGTAGCCCATCCAGGCTGGCCTCAAAGTCACAGCAATGCTCCTGCCTCAGCCTCCCGAGTGCTGGTATTACAGGCATGCACCACCATGCCTGTCTAGTGTTGATTCTTTAATATTGGATGTTAAGGGGAAATATTAAGCTATTTAAACTCAGTTTATTTAAACTCACAGGATTCCAGTGAGGAAAAGAATGCATTCCTAAATTACAGAAATCTAACAAAAAGGTACTACTAATTTTTCTACAAGCTTTTTTTGTTTCACATGAACTGTTGAAACGATTACTTAAACTTTGTGTTTTTAGATGAACGTTCTTCAGAAGAGAAGTCAATATATTCACTAGAAACCTAAAATTATATTTGAAAAATATATAAATGCCCTAAAGTTAACAGCAAGTGTTTCTCTTTTCATTGTGAAGTTATATAGTATTATTTATACTTACAGGTTTACAAACAAGAACAAGAAGAAGAATTAAAGAAAAAATTGGCAAATGACCCTAGATGGAAGAGATACAGGAGATGGATGAAGAATGAAGGGCCTGGACGGTTAACATTTGTGGACGATTGAAGATTGATGGAATGCTACAATGCCAAACTTTAATTTGATATTATTTTTCATAACTGAATTATTTTAGAAATGTATCAACTGCTCATCGGCAGTAACTTATAATTCCAGAAGTATTTGATTAAACAGAATAATGCAGAAATTTCAACTTTCACTTAAAACTTTATACATAAAACATTTATGATTGTTCAATTTTTATAATGTATTTATGGATTTTGTTAAAAGATTTGACATAAAAATTTATTAGTTGCCATTTAAAAATTTTATAGTTCAGTTAAAAGATCTGACATGAAAATTTATACCATTCAAAATTTTGGTGTGTTAAGTGTTTATTCTTCAAGGGTGTTTCCTTATTCTTTGTTATAGTGCTACATTTTTCTGCTTTTATGGGCTATATATTTTCACAAACTAAGAAAATAGAAAATGATAACATTTAATTATTGTGTCTTTCTGGACACAAACTTCTTCAGCGGAATGATTCATCTATCATGTCTTCATTATGGTCACTGTAGGATTGAAATATGTTCAAAGTAATCTCTCTAGGAGAGTCTTCTGCTATAATGTCTTTAAATCCCCATCTTTCATCATTATAATACTCTTGAAGGTCAGAAACTCTCCAAGAGAGTGGGTCTATCCTCATGTCCTTGTAGGATGATCTTGATTACAGTCTCATTATAGGACTAAAAGTGTATTCTCAAACATTTCTGCAGAAGGGGACTTTATAAAAGGATCTTTTGTACCACAGTACTTTTTTTTGGGGGGTCCCCTCCAATTTAAAAAAGTGACAAGACATAGTGTGCTGAAAAATTGTTCATGTATTATGAATTCATTGGTGAAAAGTCCATTGTACATGAGAACATGCATTTAAACTAGAAAGAAGATATGAATGTTTGTGCACTGTTCTCAACCACTGAAATATAAATGTTTTTATATATGTGGAAGTCAAAGTAAATGGCACATAAATTTGAGTGAATCAAAAGCATGATACTACACCACAGTATCAGTACACATTCATGGTAGTGAATCAGTACTCCTGTAAAGGATTTATCCCTATTGCTTCATATTAATAAAATGGTTGTAATATATCATGTTTGTTGGTATGACATTTTAGACTAAAGACTAATATATTGCTTTTTATATAATTTTAAATGGCTAGGGTAGCATAATAGATACACAGAATCTCTTTAATACTATATAGTCCTTTTATAAACTCAAAACATACAAAGGTTCTGTCCTTGCTAAGATTTGAGGCCAGTTGTGAAATCTGTGAATGATTGCTTTAATTGGCTCAGTTAAAAAAGTGGGCAAGAATTTGGCCTATTTCTAGGGCTCTTTTGCAGCTCTAAAATTCTGAAATGATGTAATTATCTTTTTATAAAATCTAGATGAAAATATGGATCCATCTTTATCATCGTGAATAAGGTATAGAGGTAAATTTCAGATTGCTGTTTCCAACCTCAAATGCCCAACTCTTACCCCGAAATGAATGCCTGTAAGGTGCTGGGGTTGTCTGTAGTCAGTAGTCCCTGTCTTACGTAATGCATTATCATACAGCTAACACACTGGCATTTATCATCTCTGAACAGAAACATGTGCCATATATTACGGAGACCAAAAAGAAATACAGGTACTTGCTTCTTTTTCACAATTTTCAAAGAAACTTAATGATTGCTTGTGTTTTTTTATCTAGTGGTAAGGAAAGACGAGATGAGAGCATTCATAGGGATTGGCTGATGTAGACAGTATATCTTTATGGACATTCTGTCTGTAAGATCATTGTATTTCTTCCTGTCTTTACAGAAATCTCATTTCTAGACTTGTCCCCAGGATCCTGCTCACTGGGTGATGCTTGGTCTGTCTTTTGGAGTCGCAGTCATTGTGTGAATCAAGATGAATGAACTGTCTTTAACAAGAGGACTATTATTCTCTTAACATACTACAGTAACTGCTTTAAAATCCTAGGGTGAAGGAAGAGCCATTGTCACAAATGTCATTTAAATACTCTGGGTATTTTTATTATCACCCTCCTCTGTCCACTCCCCTAAAAAAAGCCTATTTGAGAAACTTCTGGAGAAGAATCCTGTTCAGGGACCCCTACAACTCCTCTAGTTATGAATTTTGTGTAGAAATTTAGTTCTTCATTTTTGGACTATCATCATTTCCTTTTTGGTTGGGATTTAAGGGCTGATAGAGCATAGCTGACAATTGCTACCTATTCATTGTCATATAATTGAGTTCTGCAAAAATCACCCAAGATTATATTCTCATTCATATCTGATGCATTCCTAACAAGATTCCCCTACTGACCCTTTGCTCAGTTTTATTAATCAATTAAACTTCTACAAATCATAGGTTGCAGTTTCATAACATATCTTTTAGATACCATGCCTGAAATCTTAAACATTACAATTGGTATATAGGATTTTTAAAATTTTATTTATGTGAGCCAGGCATGGTGGTGCACAGCTACAATCCCAGTGCTCTGGGAGGCTGAGGCGGAAGGACTAAGTTCAAGCCCAGTCTGGGCAATTACAATATTTACATTTAGAGAATAAACTATTTCAGTACTATTGGGTTTATGTTTAGAAAATCACCGTGTTTCCTGTGAGATTGGGAAGGAGTGAGGAAAAGGCACTAAACACTAAACTTTAGCGTCCAAACTTTGTAGATGGAAGCCAAAAGCTGTGTAACACTCAAGTTTTCTGAGCCAGATTTCCCACCACAAAGTTCTATGGAAATGAAAAATGGCTTTCATTAGACACTGCTGTAAGTAGGATCTAGCTACTATATATAGTGAAGTCAAACAGTCTTTGTTATAACTGTACATTTGAGGCAGATAAATGGTATTATTTAAACCTATCTGAATTATTCATCTTACTATCAAAGTGATACTCTTCACGTTTAAATATGGGCTAACGCTAAATCTCAAACCTAATAATAACCTAACCTTTCCAGTTTTCTCATCTGAAATGAGCAGTTGTTAAGCAGAGATACTCTTGCTGCTCGGTTTGGTAGGCCAGGACAATGAACGGGTCGGGCTTTCCTCCGCAGCACCTAGAATCTACTACTGAAGAAAATGAGGCTGCTGTCCAGAGAAAGCAGAGCCAAGGGATGGAGAATGAGGGCCATCAGCTATTATTTAGGTGGGTAAACCTATTAGTTTAAAGTCCCTGGGATTTTCACGCCTGGGATATACACGGCGTATCTTAGCTTTCCGCATTCCTCAGTGTAAGTGGGCCTGGCCAACAGTGCCATACAAGAAGGAGGGCAAATTCACAATACACTGAGTGACCCCCCCCATTGTTTACAAACAGTAATGATCACAGGTTCGTAAAACTAATGCGTGTGTTTAAAAAAATTCAGGAGATTAGAGACAATGGTCATAGTTGAGTAGTGAGGCCAAGGGACTGACTGATGTTATTCTATGCCTCACAAAGATGTTATGATCTGGGATTTTAACCCTACTTACCCTATCCGACCAACGGGTAGATTTCCACGAAACAGAAAAGGTTTATAAATTAGCCTCACTATGGAAATCCTACGACTCGTGCTTCACTTCCCTCGGGTTACGTACAGCCTTGTCCAACTCGTGTCACACAGGAACGGTCGTTCTCTGATTTACCCTCAGTCCGTGTTCCCACCCCGCACCCGACCCTCGCGGGTCCTGAAAGCCCGGCTTCGCCTTGGGTCCCCGCCGGGGGCCGGGCACAGAGGCGGAGGTCACCTCGGCCTAGACTGCGGGAAGCGCCG